GTCATATTTTTGTCAGTTCTACTAGTTTTATTACGATTTTCATAAAAATGTATGTGTCCTATATATATTTTAATTCTTTTTTCCTCTATTTGGGAAATAAATTTGGCACCATTGGTATTGGCACAAACTGGATTGAATATACAACCACCACCAATTTGTGCTGTTGCCGAAAATATGTATCGCTCGATACCACTTCAGAATATTGAGCTATACACAGTGTTTTTACTAACCCGCGAAAACGTTTCTTGCAATCGAGACAATAAGTTGCAGCACTCGCGAATATTAGACCAAACCAGTGCCAGAATTTAATTCCAGAACCGTGAATGGTATCCTTGTTTTTTTTTTTTTAAGAACAAAAATATTCTGTCTTGGGAGATATGTTATGTTTCGAAAAATAAAAATTATGTCAAAATAGTATAGGCGCAATAATATAATTTCCGCGTTCTATTATACTTGTTATAATGTCGTAATAACGACAAAAAAATACATTGGATATGGTTTATATTATATCATGGCTAATATATTCAGGTAGTTTTCATGAGGAAGTTATGAGGACTGAAATTGGGTTTAAACCATTTTCGATGAAAAGGATAATACATCGTGATAACAACACCTTTTTTTCTCATACCGAAATGAGATTCTGATCGCGATCCTCCCAAATGTGAGTACTTACATTATATTATCATAAAGATAATTACCCTATAATAATGTCGACCTTCGTACTGGTATAGCTATAATTTCTAAATCGATACCTGACCACGGGTACATAAAATAGTATATCATAATAATAATGACGAAAAACGACTGTCGATCATGTCCGACATAACCAATGTATGTCTGAAAGTTAAGTAGTCCAACCACGGATAAATGCGGCGCAAACAAATGCGTATTGCTAATTATTATAATAATATCACGAGAATTCACTATAAGTAGTCTATATCATAAACGAAGTAACTGGTAATTTCGTCAGGATCAATGATTGGTGGTTCCACTTTGGTATCAATACGTCTAAAATATATATATATATAAGTCAATCCGGAGTGCTATTATAGCTTTTGAAACAAAAATACTACTAAGAAATTTTGAAACATCGTGTATTGTCACTTGCTTTTTTACATTAAAATGTGTATTTTTACAAAATTATTTTCGAGGATAGCAACGTATAAAATACTCCGAAAAAAACTCGCTCTTTTCATAATATGTTTAGAGAAGAATAATTATGATGATGATGCCGGTAATGAGATAATTTCGTGAAACTTAGTGTTGTATCGACGCACCGTAGTGTACAATTGAAAACCACAAAAATAAGTTGGTGACCATTATGAGCTGCAGCGGTGGTGTATATAATGACAGAATTAAGATCGTTGATTCCGAGCAAATATTGTATTATTATAATACATTCACAATGTCTGTAACACCATAACCTTAAAATGTATATGTGTGTGTGTGTGTGTGTGTTTTTAATAACTTTAATAATTGGCATTATTTTAACTTTATTTTTTTTATAATTAATCCCCATTAACTTACATCCGTATAACCACGTCATAATTTTAATAATGTACATCGTACATAAATACTTCGTCGTGTATAATAATACATGTATATGTAGGTACAAAATATATGCGATATTATACTTCCGATGGGCGTTACATAATCCCCCGTCTCGAATAGGTATTTTTCTCCGCTAAATCGCGTATAACCTACTATGATGTAGCTATTCTATGATGGTAATTATAATATACGATCTGAAGTATATTACATTGCAATGAATAAAATGCGCTTGTGAGTTTTTCCACTCTTTATCCGAGTCGGCGGTCCGATGCTAATACGTGTGCGAAAGCGGTTTTTCAAGTTTACAACTGTTTTACACACGAGTCATGGGTCTTCTAATTTCCCCGCTATACGTCATCATCGGTTTCGAGTTCAAGTTCACGATCCTTGCAGTTGAGTGTTCTGCATATTATTTTTATTATCATTATTATCATAAAATTCGTTTCCCCGGTATTTCGTCACACTCGCTCCTTATAATATTATATAAATAATGTTTATATATTTGTATATCATTATTTTGTTTGCCCGATAAAAAAACCACTGCCGCTTCACCGTACGCCTAGAGTTCGGTATCCGGTCATCGTTAATATACGTAGGCATTATACAGACATACGCCGAAGGGGCCTTTCTCACATCTTATAAAAACTATTGAATGCCTGCGATTCTCGACTTTGTGAACATAAAATTTAATATATATATATATATGTTTATGAACCTCCAAACACTCCGTCTCATTTAACCATCATGGTTCGTTTGTCTATAAACTCGCTATACTAAATTTCTTATGTATATTATAATTTATACACTAACTTATGTAATTCAAATGTTTTATTTTTTTTACCGACGTTTTATTTATTGACCGAGTAAATTATAAGACGTGATGATAGATTTATATAGTTTTTGTGAACACAATAATATAATAATATAGTTTCAGTACTTCCTTTTCTTTCATTCTCATACATTCCTTTATCCGAAAGATATTAAATTTATATTTAATTTAGAAAATTAAATTAAATAAATAAATAAATATGCCATTCTATTGTTAAAATCAATAGGCCTACATGGATGCAGCCATTAGGCATCGGTATAATATTTTGCATTAAACTTGATAAGAACATGTTTTCAGCAACATACGAGTAAGACTTTCAGTTTGGTTCTTATCAAATTAAGTGCAATTACAGTGTCATTTAATTAGTGCATTAATATAGGATCTACCAAGGGCCAATCTTAGATTTTTCGCTACTTTAAATATATTTAATAAAATCTGTTCATAGTCAATAGTTAATTTTTGGGGAGTAGGGGGGTTTATAAAATAAAGAAATTCGGTTTTTAATGATAAACTCTTATTGTTCTTTAGAAAAAAAAAACGTTTTGAGTGATCGCAGTTTTCGATACAAAATATAAAAACAATATAAATTAAATATAAATATTATGTAAATATAACTAGTTATTATAATGAAATCGAAACTATACAGTACTTATACAGTATTATACAATAGCAATAAATATTAAATTATTAATTGAAAGTACTACTAAATTAAAAATATATTAAATATAATTTATTTACCAGCCTTTTCATATGTAAAATCAATAGGATGGCCTATCTGTATATTCTGAAAATGTCATTTCAATTAACCTATTATTCTTCGAAGTCAAATCCATGTGATCATACCGGGTGGATTAAATAATAATAAAAACAAATATTTTAACAATAATAATACAAATTTAATAAAATCAATATTATAATTGTGTGTGTCCACGGTTGTAATAATAGATGATATTAAATATCATTCCACGTACCTACATACCAATACTTGAGATATTATTATTATAAATAATACGTAATGGTCGTAATCCAAGCAAGACGATTAAATTTAACCACAGTGGCGTGACAAGCAAAGCCTATAAGGTATAATATTATACGCACGTCGTACCGTAATAATAATACAATATTATAGTGTTTTTTTTCCGTTCCATTTTCGTCTCATCTGATTCCAATTATCAGTTAACCCGTTTTTGGCACTACCAATGCCAAAAACCTTACACGATGATTGTTGTTTTATAACTACTACATATGTAATATAGTTGTAACACTGATTGTCGATAAAAATAGAATCTTATGTCTTTCAACGATTTTGTCTCGTACTCGCATCGCCGACACGCCCGATCCCGGACTGATATATTTATATCTTATAATATATTATATGTGTATATGTGTGTACACTCGTATATTTTTCTATATTCGCGCTCGTAAATACAAAATAGCATGTACCGTTGTTCACGAATTATTCACGAGTATTAAAATCAGCTTCAGGGTTAATCCGTATCAGTACATTCGGTTTCCGATGTGTCATCGCTGTGGCAATTATACGCGCCTGTTATAAAATAGTCAGAGGCTTCAAACAGCATTTGAACTTTCGTTAACCGCGTATAATTAATATTGTCCAATGGACATTAATATACTATTGTAATATAATATAATATTATCTGACGAACCGGAAATCAATATAAATATTAGTATGATTATTATCATAATAATTATTATTGGTATGTTACTGTTGTTCGAATAGGGATGTATATACATTCGTGGTTAAGTTACCTATATACGGTTTGTCGGGCGTTTTCCCTAGCCACCCAACAATACTGAAAATACGATTTTATAATATTATTTGATATAGGTTTGAGTACATTATCATAGGTATCGTATAAATCGTATACAAAGCATCTTACAATGTAGGTATGGGTTATTTTAATTTCAACACAATATTTGGCGTTGTACATTATCATAGGTATCGTATAAATCGTATACGAAGCATCTTACAATGTAGGTATGGGTTATTTTAATTTCAACACAATATTTGGCGTTGTACCCATCCGATTAAAACTTACGAGTATACATAATAAGTAATACCTAATTAATTCGATAATATTTCTGATGTTTTCGAAATCCGATCTAAAACAGTTTTTTATTTTTGTTGTATACCCCTCAAAAACAACAATGTATAATAATATTGTTATGATGTATAGATTTATTATGTTTCGTGAAAATCAATGGTCGAAATCTTTGCGTTCGTATAGGTTTTGATAAATGATTAAAAGCCTATTGACTATTTTTTGCTGCACTGCTGACTACGATAATGCTGTATGTATATATTATTACAACCAGCGCCAGTCTATGAAACGTAAAACTTAACGTTTTCGAATAAATAATTACACGCGGTATGTATTTCACAGATAGTGGTAATTATTTCGCTCCGTGTGTATACAATGCTTGTAAAATCAATTCGTGACTATTACGGAAATTTGAATTATGTTTTTGTTATGTGTATTTTACCATTATCGAATAATAACATAAGTATATCATATTATTATACCCGATGCTCCGGGTCATAATGTGGCATTGGGAGTACACCCGTAGTAATTATTTGAATTTATTTTTTTGTTTACAGGTCTGATATCGTTGATGTTAATTGGTGTTTCAGCTCTTGTCTTGGGTACGCTGATTGCTATTTTCGATCCGTTTCAATTAATACTCAAATGGGTAAGTTGGCAGGAGTCAATGTTTGTATACAATATAATATACAATGTAATTATGACATACGATACACAGTGTCATTATGATTAAGATTTTCCTTATTTTTTACCTTTTTCCTCGATTCAAAGTCAAATAAATAATATACGTGTATAACGTACGCATTATGTACTCAACCTTGTAAGGTTTATAACATTTTTAGGAAAAAAATTGTACTCTAGTGCCTTTATGTATTCTACTGCAAGGATATCGAGTAATGATGAGTTTTTTCAATATGATAAAAAATACGTTTCCTTTTACGGAAATAAACATGGAGTACTCTATATCATACCTAATTTATTGCTTTAATAAAATGATAATATGATTATAAAAAGCAATTAATAAAAGCTAATAATGCTAGTATAAAGGTTTATATACATATTTCCAATAATCCATATGTAAGAAAAAAAACAATAACTATAATATAACTATTTTTAACTATAATATTATAGCTAAAATATCTTGCTGCCCTCCCTCGCACTTCTTTCTTAGTGTTGATCTGACGTTAACTTTTTATATTATTTCCTAAATTAAATTATTGTAATTAATACGTTTAATAAATAAATCATTATAATTAATACTACGTTTATGATTTTATTAGTCATATAGGAACTCGAACACGAATTATTATTTCTAATAGTATGTGTTAAACTCGATGAGGAACAAATTAGAAATTAAAAACAAATTAAACATACTTGTTAAGATAAACATTATTTCATTTAGCTAAATGATTTTCGTATAACAAAGCAGATATCCATTATAACATTATAACATTTTATAAAATTAAATATATTGCTATATACATGTGTATGCATATTATTTGCTAATGTATCTAATATATGATTACACGTGCTGTTGTGATACTTTAAGGTCAAATCAATTATGTCGACCAACTAAACATCCATAGGTACAGTCGGTATAGTATTAATATAAACAATGTAACACAACTGTATAGGTCGTCTGTCGTGTTCAAGAGCGGAGATCAAATTATATTTTCTACTCAAAAAAATAAAATATATTTCGCTCAACTAATCAGCTTCGTCTTTTCAACGAACAAATGTTTTTCGCTGTACGATCAAATCAATCTTCTTTTTTTGATCTCGTTCGATATCTGAGTATAATTTTCTGGGGTATAATAATATTATAATTACAATAATAGTTCTCTATAGGCCGTGTGAATTTTTTTATAGAATTAAATTTTCCTACACAATCTTCGACGTATTACGCCAGAGATAATGAAAAAAAAAAAAAAAACCAAAAAAAGTAATTTTTATATACTATTATTAAATATTTTCTAAACTCGTCACACAATGAAAAATAATATTATAATAATTATTCCATTTCAAATCAAAACTTTATCTTTTTATTGAGGTCATAAATTCGTGTACCTATCTGTACTATTCGATCGCACTATTTGTATTACACCAGCGAAATGTATCATATACCAACCTAATAGACATTAGGAATACGATGATCCCGCGGACTCCCGTTTGATATACGCATACGCATTACAGAAAGAAAGAGCTACTATGTTGCTCATACGACTCCTTGATTCCAATAATGATTTATTTTGCTTACCCAGATCGGACGAGTCGATTTCCATGGGAGAATTATTTTTCTCTAATATGGTTCGTTATTAAAATTATTACTGATAGCCTATGTCGGATCTATAGAGAGAAATGGGTATGCTTGTCTCAGGTACTGTTGATATAAAGAGGCTCTTAAGCTTATGAAAAATAAAAAAATCATGAAAATACTCCGTATTTTCATCTACATAAGGGTACTGCATTTTTATTAGCCCTGGGCGTCAAATATCTTAGATCCAGCATTGCTAATAACAATATGAACAACGTGAGTTATAAATTATTGGATTTTCATACACCCTTTTTTAAATATAACATATCGAAAAAAAATTATTTCTAAATAAATTTCAAGTTCGTGTTTTGTATCATATAAAAGTAACTTTTGAACCATATTTTAAAAGATTTTCGGGCTCATAAATCTATTTATTACTAAATTGTATAAGTCATGTTACTACTAGATATTTGAAATAGCAATATATAGTCAAAAATAACTTGAAAAAAATCCTACAAATGATTGCTAACTGTAAAGTTGTACCTACAATGCAAATATCGGCAATTGAGTGTTGACCGTAAGTACTCGAGGAATTTTTATTAGTCATAACTTGAGTTAGGATGTTGATGACCTAAAAAACATACGAAAATTCCTTAAAATAAAATGCGAAAAATTCCCTAAATAAGTGCAAAAATGCCCTAAAAACTTCAGAAAATTACCTTAAAAATAATCTAAAAAACTTATTAAGAAAGTAAAAAAAATATTTTTTTAAATAATAATTTTTATTACAGATATGGGCGTGATAATGGATATAATAGTAATTTTAATCATGAATTATAGTATTAATAAACAATAGTATACAACAGTATTTAAATTTTAAGCATTATATAAAATTATTAATTATTAAATTTGTTTCCAAACTTTGGTTTACCACTTGCTTTAAAATCAAAAATTTGAGAAAAATGCCCCACAATGTACACAAACTACAAAAAATTACCTAAAAGATGAAAAAATGACTTTAAAATGTTAAAAAAATACTTAAAAAACAAAAAAATGCAAAATAAAATTAGAATATTCTACATAAAGGGGGCATGAATCTAATTTTTAGCTTGGATAGCATTGTATAGAATCAAAGGAAAATAAATGCAAAATTAATCAACATCCTAACTCTAGCCATAACATTAAATTGCTTACAGATTTTATTCATAAATAATAAAATAAAAAATAATTAATCAATTAAAATTCATACGTAGGTTATTTTTATAATATATAAAATAAATTATAAAAACTATAATTTATTGATTTTTGTAAACTAAAATGTAGAAAATTATACCCATTTATATACAGTACGATATATTAATATAGTTTTAAATTTTAATAACTATATTACCATCGCGTCCGTGTGTAGTGAACTCATATTTTTTATTTTCGAGTCAATTTTTATATAAGAGTTATTTACAGTAGAACCCGTTTAAGACGCTCTCCAAGGGACCAATTACAAATAGCGTCTTAAGCGGGAAATCGTATTAGGTGGGAACAAAATGTTTTTATTATATTTCACAATTCATCCATGTTATATATATATATATATATATATAAATTATATTTTTTACTTTGCGGAGAGAATTATTACATTTATATTACCTATTTCAAAAAATCGTCTATCTTTCATTGTCTTAAAGTTTTGATGTTTTTTCAATTTTATTAAGATAATGTAACGTTTCGTCAGCGTTGTCAAAAGATGCAATTAATCTTCTTAGCTCATTAACATGATCAAGTGCATTTGTTACTATTTGTTATTATTCGTTATCGTTATTATTAGTGAGATTATTTTTTAAATTTTATACAATGTATATGTATATACAATATATTTTTATATTAACATTATTGACAAGACGAGCGTATTATTCAGAGTTAATTACATGTTAAATGTTGTCAAAATTAAGGAACTCGTAAAAATGAGCTTATTAGCCGGAAAATTGTCTTAAGCGAGAGAATTTTAAACGGGTTCTACTGTTATTATTATTATCAATAAAAACAATTCATAACTTTAAAGTACAAAACCGTGAATTTGAACAACAAAACAAAAAAAATAAATAAATGTATAAAATAAAAGATACGGTAGGTATGTGGTTGATATTATAATATGATAATTGGGGGAGATTATTGAAATCAATATAATAAAACTTGTATTATTTGATATAATTTAGATAAAGCCTAATTGGAAATCTAAAGTTATTAGTTATTGGATTATAATTGGATATTATGAACGCAATACAATGCATCATTAATATTATTCTATATATAAGTGTATGTGTGTGTATTGTATGTCACACATCATAATTATATGTTATAGTTTTATTACGTGTGTAACACAAATAATTTAATTAAAGTAAAAAAATTGATATTTTCTCCTGTTAAAAATAATAGTATTAATTCATAAAATAAACTGAGTTGTAGAATTATGCTTAAGTATATTATTATGTATTTTATACTACTATTCAATACTTAACATTCAAAAATATTAACCCTGAGAGTTTTTTTACACATCGTGGTCATATTTTTTCCGCTATTGGTAAGGAATTCTACGACGTTATTTTTTACAAATTTATATATATATATACTATTGGCGAAAATTTAAATATAAATAATTATTATTTATTGATTACCGTGTGTACGAAAAAATATAATAACAATATTACTACGACGGGCTTGACGAAAGGGTTTAATATCGTTTTTAGATTGGAAATTTTAAATAATTGTACTGAAATTGTTATATTTTTATAGAAACTCGTAATGGCCAACGGTGACGAGACATTCGAAATGTGGAAAAAACCAGATGCAGAAATTTATCTCAAGGTATACATATTCAACATAACGAACCGCGAAGCATTTTTGTCCGGGGAAGACGAAAAAATTAAGTTTCAAGAAGTCGGTCCATACATTTACAGGTATCATTTAGAGATTATAAAAATAAATATATACAATAAATGCCCATGTAAGAGTATACACGTCATGAGATTATAATAAAATAATAAATAGAGTTTACTTAATTTGACCGTAACCGCGTTAGCGATTATTTACTCTATTCATAGACAATGTGTGTGTATATATATATATATATATATATATAATATACATAATAATACGTAATATACGTGTATGAAACGTATTATACGTTATATGTATAGAACGTATATAATGTTTTGTTTTCTAAATTCACACTTAAAAAATTAAAAATACTTCCTATTTCAGAGATTAAGTTAGGTTTTTTATTTTTATACTAAGTAAAAAAAAAAATAAGGTTGTTAAAAATGTTATAAATTGTATCGATCATAAAAAAAATCATTTTGTTTAAAATTTTCCTTTTTTATTATATCGAAGAGGTATCTAACTAAAAATAAAATAATAAAATTTTGCTACAGACTCAGAATATAATACATTATTATATTTATATTATAATAAAATTTAATTGTTTTTAAAAATATTAAAAGTTTATTAAATATCAGAAACACAAGGAATTTACTATAAATACTTCAGCGATAATGATGATTATATATAATAGATTAATAGTACCTCAATTGTCAGTTTATAATTCATATTTATTTATTTTTTTATTGTTAGTTTAACTATAATTTTTTTTTCATTTACAAGCGATTTTATTTTTATGTGTTATAAAACGTATTTTATTATGTTTTTTACTATACATGTTTTATAGTGTACCGGATAATACGTTTCAATTTTGATATACGAATAATTATATATATATCATGGTTGAAAAATATAAAATATAAATATTATATAGATATGAGAGAATTATTTAAAAAATATGTTATTAACTGACTTCCTTTTCAGTTAATAAGTAATTATATTAATAAAATTATTGAGTAAATTTGCTAAGATTTTTTGATCATAGGCGCTTTAAAATTAGCTTGAGGTTATATTTTAAACAGAAAAATTGATATATCAATGAAAATTAATTATATGGTTCATTTTTAATTAAATAAAGTAAATACGATTACTTATTATTTTTTTTTATCAAATTATTAAACAAGGTCATTCTAAACGTTTAAGAAAACCATACATTTTTTATGAATGTACATCATTTATAATATAATACAATTGAAAATCATTATTTTGTTAGTTCAAATTAGATATAGTTGTTTTATAACTTAAAATATTATTGATGCAGTGATATTTCCTTTACATTATTTTAAAACTATTTCAAAATAATTTTATAATTTAATAAATAATTTAACGTTATCAATTTTTTTTCATGAATACCTTTTTCTATTATAATAATTTTTTATCAATTTGAGTTTATACAAAAAATGAGATTATTAAAAATTTGGCATTGTAAATCGCATAATATTTAAAGTGAATTTTGCAAGGTTCATCCTTCTATATTGCCCCTATACCAATCTCCTATTCAGAGAGCGATGCTATGAAATGCAAACTACTAGGCGTTGATATCTATTGTTATTTTAATATCTATATCTATATGAGTTAATATTTACATAAAAATATTATACTTACAAGTGCTATCATTTATATTGTTTTTTAAGAGTACTTACGAACAATTTGCACTTTATGCCGCATATTCTTTTTTAATTATATAATTTTTATAAAAAAATTATAGTTATAAGATAATACTCGTATGCATTTTATATAGTGTATAATATTTGTAAATTTAATATTTTTATATAATTCTCTGTTTTATTTAGGATCCTTTTATATAAAACCATCCTAATTTTAAAATTTGATATACATTTTTAATTAAATATAAATAAATAATTATATAAAGTTAATAAAATATATTATGTATTATGTAATTAAGATATTAATTGTTGGTTGTTGTTAGTTTAGGATTTTTGGATTTTCAAATTTCAGTATCCAAATATTTGGATTTCGAATTTCAGAATCCGGATTTTTTTCATCAGTAGTAGGTATTATTTATTAGGTATATTACCTATATTTATTACATTGAATATTTATTTTTAGGTATTCCTTAGGAAAAAATACTTTTTCAACGCAATGATTTATTTTCTCATACAACGTTATTATTCGATCCTGTCCAAAAAATGCAATTTTTATTCAATTTTAATGCGTATCTTATTCGATTTATGCGCATTTTTTAACAAACTTACTTTTTATGTTTCAATCGTTCTATTACCTAATGTATTTTCAAAACATTCGGAATACTAAATTTATTTTTTATTTTTTACAAGTATATACACAGTTTATACAAATTAATGCACAATAAGTATGCAAGATAAAGGGCCATGCATAACATCAATTAGTCGAATAAAAAGCCACCCATTAGTAACAATCAGCTTGGCATATGTTTACAATTGATGAGATATATTATTAATTAAAATAGTTCTGACACCATTTCCTTTCAAGTCTGTGTTGTGGGTTTCCAGGAAGTATGAATGTATGTAACTCTTTTATTCGTGGGTTGGGGTGAATTTCTAGTTTGCAAAAAAGCCGTTTGTAAAATAATTTCGTTTCAGTTGTTTGAAATGTAAATCTTGATGGAGGGTTAAATTAGAGATATAGAAAGGAGCTTTAGTAACATTTCTTATAGTAATATTCTGAAAGACTTAAATTTTATTCAAGTTTGAATTTTTGCCGATTCCCAGAGTTTTGACCCATAGGTCCACATAGGCTTTAAAAGAGTTTTGTAAATAGTAATTTATTTTTCAAACTAGTAATTTTATTTTTAAATACTAACATTTTTAATGAGCCGGACCGAGCGTTAAGGATCAATATTTTAGCTTTTTATATTTGTTCCATGTTAATTTTTGATCAAGATTTAAACCAAAATATTTCACAGCATTCAGGGGTGGGATGGTTATATTATTTACTGAAACATTTGGACAGTAACCATGTTTAAGATTAAAAGTTGTATGGGCAGATTTACTGTGATTACCATTCAGATTGTAGATTTAAATGAGATTGTAAATTAGCGGAGGCTATAATTGGATAGTTATGAATTGAAAATATTACTTTATCATCTGAATAGATTGTAGTGTTTGGAGTTGTGGGCTGATCAGAAGCATATGTATATTAAAGAGTTAGATAGTACCTTAAGTTACACCGGCGGTAATTGGAGCTATATCTGACGTTGATGATCCGCAGCGTATTTGCAAATGGCGATTTGTAAGTTAAGATTTAATTAAAAGAAAATGCGGTGAGGATAACAATTTCAGAAGTTTAAACAGCAAGCTCTCGTGCCATACTTCGTCGAAGGCCTAAGATATGTCTAAAAATACATTTTTTGCAGTAAATTTTTTTTTCGAGAAACATGCTAATGGTATTGACTACTCAATGAGCTTGATGTACCGTGCTGTGTTTAGTTCGGAAGCCGAACTGTGAAGCCGGAAGTATATTTGTTGCGAATAGTTTGTGGTGATAAACGTTAAGAATAAGCCTTTCACAGATTTTTTAAAGGTAGGGTAAGAGGCTAATAAGTATGTACGAGATTGAGATATTCAGTGGTTTTTTTGGCTTAGCAAACAACTATTTGTAAAAATTTAAAAAGTCTTATGATTGCGTTATATATGTAGGTTAGAAGCATTATAGCCTTTCTGGGTAGCCACCTAATGACTTAAGTTTTTATCAAATCGTAGCCTGGAGATTTGTTACGAGAGTACTTAATTATTATGTGTTTTACTTTATTTGGTGTAAAGTATTTTACTGGCGAGCATACAGGTATGGTAGTGGGAAGTTAAAATATATTTTAACATTTTCTATATGTTGTGGGTTAAGGATGTCTTCCTTTGGTTTAAAGGTCTCAGATAGATGGGATCGGAATAACATGCCTTTTTCGTCATCATAGATAAATAAGGTATTATCAGCATTTTTAGTAAGCACGAAGGAGTTTTAAATTTTAGCATATGCTTGGTTTCTTTCCAAATACTACCTAAAGCGACTGGAATAATAAATGAATACTATTATCGTGTTCATATTTTTTAGATTGATACTTTTTATAATTATTTGCGTATTCAATCTAAATTTTTTTAAGAAGTATTTTTCCTATATAAATTACAAATAATTATATTAGTATTCATTTACATATTTTTTAATGAGAGAAACGTAATAATAATTGCATTTTTATATTTTATTATAAATAACAAATTCGAGCATCTATATTAATGTGAATATAAGAACACTTTAAACTAAGTACTATTTTATTCTTTTTAAGATATGGTAGTCCTAATGTTGACTTAACTAATTACAAATTTCGCATAACTATTTGTACATTAATTTTATCATTAAACTGATAAAAAGCACAATCATCAAGTCAGCTATCTACCACTCGTCCACTTATCAAACTTTTTATTGTGATGGGTAATTCAGATATAAAATTAACATTTAAAGCCTTGCATAATATATAAATTGAATACATAAAATCATAATTAAAATATTAAAATATTTTCGAGTATACCATGAAAATAATATGGCATTTTACTGTAAACTATTTTGAATTACTATGGTATAATTTATCTTCAATATAATTTCGTATCTACCTATCGAATGGTTCGATTAAACGATAAAGTTTCTTGTGTTATTTACGACTTCTTGAAAAATATGTATTATTAGGTTATATTAAAAGTTGTAATAATATGGTCGGTAAAAAACGTGTCATGTTTATTTTAAATAACCATGTTTAATATATAAACTGATATAAATAAAAATGTATAGTAAAAAAAGCCATGTCAAATAAGTTTGAATTTAAATAATTAAGATATCGTATGTGTTATAATGCGATATTTGTTTAGTACATATTTTATAGACAGGACAATGGCAGAAAAAGATTTTTGGGAGGTTTAGAGTATAAATATGGTTTTTACTAGTGAATTTTACTTTTAATATTTCAAATTTAATTGGTATTTACCATATAATAATTTAATTATATTTTAAGAAAATATTTTTGAGGGGAGGTCTGAAATCCCTCTAGATACAGCGTTGAGATCGGCTATGCTTAAAATATTGAACAATATAAATTATAACTAACTACAGTATAAAAATTAAAAATATATAGTGTCAACTGCATAAATAATAGTTTATTATATTAATCTTATTTTTTATACTCAATAACCACAATACATTAATTACACTTATCTATGAAATAATATTATAATAATGTAAATTATCAGACATTTTGCAGTAAATAATCACTGTAGGAGTTTGAATATTGAATACAGTTATTTGTTTTAATAAAATTATAATATTTAAAATTTTAACTTTGGTTTCCCATTGTTTATAATCGGAATATTTTATTTTTTTTCGTTAAGTCATGTTTTAACTTAAATGTCACTAATGGGTAGCTCCTTTAATCACTTCTACCACGTCTGTTATTTTTTTTTTATCTTTACATATGCTTATTGTGCCGATAAATTGTACAGATTGCATATTATCTAATAAAATTTAAAAAAAAAGAAAAAGTCATGTTTTCATTATGCATAGTTTTCTGCATATTTTATAGTTTATAGATGTAGAGTAGCGAGAAATAAGTCTCATAACAATTATGTTTCTTCGATGGAAAATATGAGTTTATCAACTTGTTTTTTAACTTTTAAACAAATATATATATGAGTATATATGCATATTTTTTTTTGGATTTCATCAGCGAATTTGCCAGCGTAATTTTATTTATAATTTAAAAATCTTAAACATAATTATAAACATTTTTTTTTTTTACGAAAATTAATTTAGTAGGTATACAAATTATAATAAAACTGCTTTCTACGTATAAAGAAGGTTTTTTTAAAATATTTTTCAAATAATTTACAATATAATTAAATTATTTTTAACTATATTATAAACCCTATAAATCAATACTGTATTATGTATACAGTAATATTTTAAAAATTTTCACATTAGTAACATACATAGATTAATTGTAAGACTACTTTGAATATTTGACTACAGTAATATATTATGTGTAGGTACTTAAGTATATAGTATACTAAGTATATTGTATGATACGTGTAGAATTTCTTCAATGCACGGAAACACTCGAGTTACATTTATTTTAAGAAAATAAAATATTCAATAGGTTTATAAAACACTTTGACCTTCGATTGGAATCGCTTTATTTTTTGAATATTAAAATTCATTATTGGATACTTTACATTCATAATTATACATGTACAATGGATTCTTGATAATTTAAATAAATACAATTATCATAACGTAATTCGTCTGATATAGTTAAATTTATTTAATAAAATATAATAAATTATATATATATATATATAATAACAAAATTATAATATAAAATAATATATGATTTAATTTATTTTATTAAATTTATCCGTCTTTTCGCAAGTTTCAATAGAATCAATTTTATCATTACTATTTAATAAATACCAGCAATAATTTTATTTTTAATTCATTTCCAAAAAAGATTACAACATCAAATATCTATGACTATTCGTATTCATAATCATAAAGAATTCACCGACTACGTACCAGTATCAAAGGGTTTTATTCATCTTACTTGTGTTTTGCGTAAAACATTCGAAATTGTGATTTCGAAAAGTTGTACTATAATGATCTAAATAAACTTTGAATCATCAAAAATAAACTACAATACGAGTAGTAATATTTCCTTGGTGAAATAAATTTTTTTTCGGATGATTTAGATTTTCGAACTACAAATAATAATTATAATATAACAATATAATACGTCGTATAGGGAACTGTATTTATAATATTATAATTATATAAGCGACCCATGTAAAAACCGAAAATATTCCCAACTCCTTAATCATTCATTGCCAGTCGCTATTTGTATGACCTGCCCAAAGAGTGAAAAATTAAAGGACAGATACTGCTTAGTATCTTGCATATCATGTTTTCTTTTTGTTCGCTTGCAAAAACTATCCGACAGTTAATTTTTTTTAAATGTAATTTGATCACCAAATAATAATTATTAGTAGGTAATGTTATAATGACGAGTTTTGATCTACGGATACGGTGAAATTAGTTTTCATTCGATAATAATAATAATTAAAAAAACACCGTGCATTAAATTTCTCCCTATAAAAAATAATACATGTCGTTTGTATGTATAGCAGATTTAAATAAAGGCGTATACTCATCCGTTCTCTCATTGCCTCTGTTCTAGGCAAACGAGATTAAAGTGTTTAAGTATAATATTGGATAATAAAATGTTTAATGTAATACAATATGGAATGCATAATCAATAATTGATTATTATTATTATTATTATATATATATATATTATATAATTATTAGATTTTAAATTAGAAACAAAATGGGTTTATCAATAAAGCAATTGTTATTTCTTTGTGATGTTGAAATAAAATAACTACCTACATAATACATGTATAATATACGAATATATAATATTCAATACACATAATTTGTTAAAATATCAAATTTACATTTAATATACATAAACTAAGTTATTATTATCACTGTTTCACATTAATAAAGTTTTTTAAGCATAATATTATAATATAACCAACAAACAGTACAAATCGGTATTATATTTCAATACTAATAATTTTCTTTAGTAGACTTCGTAAATTATTTGTCATGTTAATAAAATATGTTAATCAATGTTTTACAATAATATTAATATAATAGTATCAAATTATTGTAAACGAGTAAGATTATTTAAGGTAAAAATATAACCTCAAGCATAATGATATATTTTAAAAGACCGTACGTATTTTTAAATTGTTTATTTGATAAAGAAATAAAGAATATTATTGTATATGAAGTAAAATATATCAAATATTTGATAAGAACAATTATATATATATATATAAAAGTAAATAGACACTAATTTAATAAATGTCAATATAGAGTATTATATTACAAAATGCACAAATATTACATAATAGTACAACAATTTACATATCATAGACTATTGTCAAATGCATTATTATAAAAATTGCTATTGTTAAAAAAAATCCTTGTTACCTATATGATTTGAATTAAAATACTGTTTTACCAAAGAATTCATCAAGTAAATATTATAATTATAAATGCTCAAAGGATCAAGTATTATTAATTTCTTATTAATATTATTACATTATTAATCACATTGATAACACGAAATAAATGATTTATTTTAATTGGATTCTTTTTTACGTATATAAAAATTCTAAATCTAATATTAACTAAAGGCTATATTAATTTTAAATATAATAAGATATATTATACTTTCTATATTTATCACATGTAGTATAATTTTATAAAATATAACCTATGAACATGTTTTTTTTTTAAATTAAAATGATTAATATTACCTTTAATCGCTAAATATTTAAATAAAATATATATAATTTTATTTCAACTGAGTAAATATATTTACTTTTATAATAAAATTAAAATAATACTTATGTTTACTTGCGAATTTTTATCTATATTTATACTATTATACATTACAAGTATTAATTATATATATATATAGCACTTATTAAAAAATGTATTATATTTATATATAGCACTTATTAAAAAAAATATTATTATATATTTTCAGAGAAAATTCTGAACACAAAAACGTTACGTTTAACAAAAATGGTACACTGTCAATGACACCCGTGTTTCCTTTGACGTGGGTGCCAGAGCTGAACTCCGGCAGGGAAGATGACATATTGATATTACCGAATATTGCACTTTTGGTATGGTTTTCTTTATTTTGTTAAATTATTCTCGTTTCAATTTAACAGCTACTCTAACCCGCCGTGGTCATTAATACAATTCTACCCGTATGCTTTTCCGTTTGCCCATAGAGTTTTGCGAGCGTCATGGCGGATGCATCAATGATTACCAGAATGGCGGTAAACCTGCTCATTCGCCAAACGAATTCCAAACCGTTTATCGAGCAAACGGCCAAAGAGTTCATGTTCGGCTACAAAAGTGTATTGGTAACCATAGGTAATAAGTTTTTACCATCTTGGATCGCGTTCGACAAACTGGGCCTCATTGACAGAGTAAGTTTTTACACTGATCTTTGATAGAAAATACGTATAAGTTTGATGATCAAGCCAATGGCAAAATAATAAAATACAACTATTCCGAGAAAATAAAATATTTTTGTATTACCAGAAATATATATACATAATTTGTTTCCCAGTTTTCCATTTTACTATTATCTATGTCTATTTTAAAGCTATAGCTTTAAATTGGACATCGATAATATAATTTTTAAGTCAACAGGTATCGAATCTATATATTCTAAATTCAAACTTACTACAAATTAAAGACTGTAATTACATAATAATTCAAAAATAATTGCTGGGCGTATCTTTCGATTGGAAATTGACATTGTCACCTAACAATTTATTTATTAATTAATAGTCAAGAGTTCTGAGGTCATCTCACTTCAATATTATCTATATTTAATATCCTTCAGACTTACTTTAAACAGTGGTAACGATTGTATCGTATATTTTCAGATTTATGGTTTATACTTTGTTGATTTATTATTTACAATATTATATTTTATTCAAATGCTTACGTTATAAATTAAGTTATGACATTTTTTGTTTGGACGTTCATAAATCGTCTGAACAATAAAAAAACCTAATAAGAGTTATAGCGGAAAGTTATTTGAAATTATTATTTATGTTCAATACTATAGTTTTTAGTGCATAATTTTTAATACAAAACCGGTAAAATAGGTACATTTATACAATTATAATTTGTTAATTGTACGCACTGAAAACTTAATACAAATATATTTATAAGAATATATTAATCATTTCCATGCAAAAGGCCCTAACGGTCTGTATAGCATTAATAAAAAAAAGTATTAATCGTTTCTACATAAGGATGTAATTAGTTGAGCATACATTATTACTAGTATATCTTAAATAGAAAAAATTAGTACTTATTTTAAAGTACTCTTATGTTAATTTTAATATATATGATTACATTTATAATTTATTATAAAATATAATAATTATCATATTTTTCTTCAAAAACATGTTAATGAACACTAACATAATTATTGTAATTAACGTAGGAATAATACTTTTAAATAATATTAAGAATGTAATAAATAGATAGTCGATAAAATAATTGTTTTCATAGGCAAAAAAATAAAATACAATATATGTATTGTTGTATGAATTTTTCCGGGTTTTGATCATATAATATAATATACCAAGTCACTTTGAACAACGTTCTTGCAGTACAAATATCTTAAACCCTTGAAAATATTATTATGTACTTTTCATACAGTGCTTCTAAAACTATAATATTTTGCTATTTGAGTTACAACTATGTCTTACGATTAGCGTTCAAATTCTATCACAAGTCAGGAACGTACCTACCCTAAGGTTATGGGGCGGGTTGGGTGTTCAAAAATGCCCCCAAAACAAATTCTAGACACACCCCTGTAACAATTATAATTTAATTTAAGCGTTAATTATATTCAGGGTGGAAATATACATAAGAAACAAATAGTTATTGTGTCATGTTTGCGTGGTTAGACATTTGTTCACCTCTTTCACATTATAAACTATAGCTGCACATGTGGGTTAACTGTGTAGTTGTTACATTTTGAGTTCGGGCTCGGTAAACAAGTCGCTAACGTTGTTTATAACATTAAAATAATTATTATATCTAAAATATAACCATGTTTCTCACTAAGAACGCTGATTATTGTCTACTGTACAGACGACCTTGAGTTGTTTGTTAGTTCAATTATAATTATTGTGTAGATAAAACCAAAAATAACTGTCTCACTAACTAATTGTTTCTAAAATAAAAAAAATAAAATATTACTGTTGGTATGATGCCTCAATTTTTTTTTTTAATTTATGTGAAAACCCACAGAAATATATATATATATGGGTTTTATAATATTTCCCTGTAAGAAATTAGTCACACCTTGTGAGTAACATTTCAACACTAATAATATTATACAAAAACTTGTGTTTACATAATGTTATTATTGTGTGGTTATCAACAACAATTAATATTAGAAAAATAGTACCAGAAAAATAAACAACGAAAATTATTATATAAGTAAACGTGAAACTAACATTACAAATAAGTAAATGAACATAAATCAATTACATTAAAAACAATTAACTATGTATAACTTCAGATTGAAAATTTAGTTACATCAAGAAATGTATGTATAAGACAACAAAATAAATTGTTTGACATCGAGAATAAATTATTGTATAAAAAATAAATTCATGAAAAATATTACATCCTCCTATAATAATTATGAATCATATTTCAAAAATATTATTTTTGATCTGTTAGCTTACAAGTTTCATGTAATTATAATATCATTAATAATGTATAAACAATGTTTTATTTTTAATAATAATTAATAATTGACCCGCTGGAGTTTATAAATGTAATAAAATACAAAGTTTAAGACATATAAAAACTAATCAAGATTAATATTCTTAGTTTAATCAAATTAATTTGAGTGTGACTAAAACGTATGGGTTTATGGTTTCGTTTTTCTCGTCGTAATTTATTAATCAAACTACAATTTAATTTAATGAAATTATTTAACACTAAAAACATTCGAAGCGATGACTTCAGTAAAAAAGTAATTATTCTAGAGTAATCTTAGAGTAATACTCATTTTATGACGAATATAGTTGCATTACAACATATTAATCACAATTGATATTAATATATATACCATATTGGGTAATATTGGGTAGACGAATGCATTTTTTCACTTTATTTTAGCGTTTTCGAAATACTTCCTATAGAGATAAAAAATATTACGTAAGATTTGCGCTATCCTAATCAAATACCATTTTACGCGTACATTTTTTTTTTACTTAAACGGTCGAACGTATATCGTATACATCAATACTCTTTGTTGGAGTGTAATATTTTCCTTTAGAAAAATAGGACTTCTTATAACCTTATTGTCATTACAGATGTACGAATTCACCGGTGATAGTGCAACAGTGTACACAGGTGAGGACGACGTGAAGAAGTCCGGTATCATAGAGAACTACAACACAAGACCGTATCTACCGCAATGGCCTGCAGCACCTTGCAACACGGTGACAGGAGCTTCGGACGGTACTAAGTTTCCGTCGATGTTATCGCCCGACGACACGCCGATGTTCTTCAGGAAGTCCCTCTGCCGTTCCATGCCAATGGTACGTACATAACCGTACACTTCGGGGTATATATAACATATAAACAATATATTATATGTATATATAATTATAATTGTTATAAATAGTAAACACATTTCGACATACCGTTAGGTCTTCTTATTGGAGTATTTCAAAAGTGATGGCCCCTTAACACAAAATTTTCTATTCGTTTGCATTCGATCTTTCATATCGTGGTCATACATAATATACGTACGTAAATAACGCATTCGTGCAAAAGGAATTTCTTGGCTCATATATAATGGATATAGTTAATGGAAAAAATTATGAAGTTTAGCGATTGAACTTGATGTCATCGTTGCGCTTGCGCGTTTATTGTTTAAGATTGCCGCGATAGTCACTGCCCGTCCAATTATATCTGTGACGCGTGCTTAATTGAGATTTTCGGCACCGATTACGCTTAACGTAGACCGTAGCTTTATTCAGTGTACATGGTCAAAGGATGTTCGATATAAGGCCATCATTATTGACTAGATGACACCATAAGGTAAGGAGTCTTTCCATATGCCCCACAAGCACGTAATTTTCAAAATTCGTCATGTTTCTGTTTTACCAAGCCTTTTTTCACTCGAAATGATAATTGCATTAAAACCGCACAATTTACAATCTACGATATATCATACCACAGTTTTACAACAATTTATTAGCTCTGACGTATATCTCGAATGTCGCTTAATGTGTTATCGTAGTACACATCATGAAAATCATTGTTTTTGGCCACGTGGAAAACGATCACTGCATGATAATAATATTGTTATGCTGTTTATACTGACTTTTCAGGTAAGGACAACTGACATGATGATACATAACGGCTTGAAAGTATACAAGTATATATTTAAAAATGGAACATTAGATAACGGAGCAGAAAACCCAGAAAATAAATGTTTTTGTCGTAAAAACAAATGCTTGACATCGGGACTAGTGGATGTCACCGATTGCTATTATGGTAATATTATTAAATAATATTAATATATTTTATTTCTACGGTTCTAAAGTTGAGCCTTGAATTCACACAACGTTTTTATTTTTTCCAAATATACCTACTTATTAATTACTTCAACGAATCACTTTACACAAAATTTAAACATAATTTATGTATAACATAACTTTTTTTTTTGTAAAATTATTCAACGTGTTTAATTATGAGGTAGTTAATTGTTTGTATTTATTATTATATTTAAGGATTTCCTATTGCATTATCGTATCCCCACTTTTACAAGGCCGATGAATCACTAGTGAATGCCGTTGGTGGGTTGAATCCAAATCAAGAACAGCATGAAACGTATTTCTTCATCAACCCGGTAAGACGATGATGATCTACTGAATTATAATTAATATTAACATATTAATAATGTGTCAGTGTGATTGCGGCGCGTGCTGCATTTAATGTGCAAAACTACCAAAATTACAAAATCGTAGTTACGCGTTTTCACAATGATTGATTTCTGTAATAATTATTTTTATACTTATTTTGTGTACAGTTAACGGGTTTGCCTACACAGCTGTATGTCAGAATGCAGATTAACTTAGCTCTTGGTGATATATCTAATATGGCAAATACGGAACGCTGCAGCAACGTTGTTATCCCTTTGGTTTGGACCGAAATTGTGAGTAATATTTAATTTAATTTATTAAAAGTGAAAATATGAAAATGTGAAAACATTTCCCTATGTTACGTCTTATGTACGTGCAACTCTTATTCAACTTTTCATATTTTATATTTTAAATATACAGATAATATAAAATTAATATACAGTTAAATATATACTGTCCAAGTGAAGAAAACGCATTTGCATTTAAAATATTAACATTTCTTACAAACAATTAAAAAATAATTTAAATTAAAACATTTTTATTTATGTATTATATAGATATATTACATTTATAATATTAATAATTCAGTTTTTTGGCTGTAAATAACGTTTTTGGTTTCTATTATCTATTAATAAAACCTCGTCGGTGAAATAGCGTGATGTTATATATTTCGATATGCATAGAATATTTTTAAAAATCTTTGTTTCTTATATACCGACGTGTCGATTAGATTCTAACTCAAATATTTTTATGACTACTGTTTATTCATTTGTCCACAAGTATTATTTTTTTTTTCTATTTTTCTTTAATAATGCGCAATTTTCTATACCTAATTATTCTTCTGACTAAACTAAGACCTAATTAATTATATTGTTTTTTTTACTGTGGACAATTTTTTGAGTACCCCAAAAAAGTATCCTTCACATTTTTTTAGATATAAATGACACCGTTGATGAATCGCTATTTAAATATTTTTAATAGTTTTACTTAGTACTAGGTAATTTTGAAAAATTGATATACTATTACATTTTATCGCACAACCATCTCTATTTTTTACTAATTTATTAATCTATAATCAATGAACAAGTAATTATATGTTATATAGTTTGAAAATAGTAAATAAAGTTAAACTATTTAACGTATAAAGTTATAAAATCTCAAGAATGGTTAAATTAATGTTTTTATTAAAATCTTATCACATATAATAATTATATAATTATTATATATCTTATATTATTTGATGACTATTGTCACTTTTTAATTTATAAACTATTCCTTTTATAGTAGTTGTTAATTTGACTTTTGTACCACAATCGACAGGTTTTTCTTTAATTTATATGTACACTCATCGTTGATAAACGGGTAGTGTTTAACCAATGAAATATTTTTGAAGAAAAAAAATGTATGTAAATATTAAAACAACTGTTTAGACTTATAAATTAAATTTATTTTTATTTTTTTTTATTCAAAAGATATAATATCTAGAAAATTATGTGTTTTTTTTAAAAAAAATACAGAGATTTTAAAATTATTTATATTTCATAATATTGGGTGAAACATTTTACATTACATTTAAATAAATTAAAATAATTTATATGTGGACACCTGCATTGAGGATGGTTTAAATACTTAAAACTACAAATTTTCCAAGAAAATAATTATAACGTAGTGTATTAAAAAATAAAATAAAAATAATTAACATAATAGTATAACCGGTTCACTACACTAATGGATGGTTAAACTCTAATCTAGTGAGCAGTAATGCCTAGAGGATGTGTATCATCCAACTGAGTATCATACATCCATGTTTTATACGTGTTATTTGATAATATATTATTACATACATAATATATACTTACGTATACCTAAGTATATTAACTGTGCATAAATTGCTACTGTTACAAACAAAACTCAAGACATGATATATCATACTAAAAACTGAAAACAAAAAAAATAACTATAGCTCCCTATGAGCTATAGAGCCATGACGAAACTGTATAAAGCTTAACGAATGCTTCATCGGCTTTTGAAAATGGAAGGCGTTAAACATTGAAAAAACTAATCAAGTATAAAATTTATACTATATTTATTTAATAATTACCTATTAAAAATGTTAGTATCATTTGATTTTGTTGAAATTTCCAAGAAAAAAATTAATGATTATTTCTCGAGTTGTAATATAAAAGTTTTCACTTCAAATAACGTTAATACAGTCACGTTATTATTTTTTTGAATGATATCTTATATATAAGTTTATCCAGATTAAATATATTTTTTTACAATATTTTTATTTCAACTAAATCCAAATTATTGATATCGTAATTCTAATAATCACTTACTTATCAACTTTTAGTCTTAGTTTATTTTCAAATTTATTAGATTTTGATTTAAAATAACAAAAGTGATGACACAAAAAAAAAAAATGAGATATGTATTTTAAAAATATAAATAATAATACAGAACAAGACTTTGAAAAATGTCTTCATTTGTCATGATTATTATGTCCAACTCATACTCTCAACATTCACCTGTAACATCGTATCTCAAACGCTTTGACAGCGATGTTCAAACTGTTTTAAATCATAGTGCATTTTTGAACTAAAATTTTCTAAAGGTCTACCGTCTCAAGTAAATAAATTTATTTTTTAGACTATATACAATTATTCGGTGGTGCGATGCTCTTATACAGACGCTGTGATGTATATTTTGGGAACTACTGCCTTAGGGAACTTTTATCTTCCGTTTTACCTCTATAGTTCATGTCTGATTTTCCTACAAAGACCATAACATAAGCCTTCTTTAAATGATGTCTCTCTTTTGTATCAATATTATTTTCAAATATAAACATGGAACACCTAAGTCATATTAAACGTAAGGGTTTCTACTATATGGATATGAATTCAAATTTAAACAAAAAATTCACACTTTGAAAATTTACCAATACTCCTTATTTTATGAAAAACACAAAATGAATTAAATTTAATGTGTACAAGCGAAAATAGCTTCAAAATTGGGAAATAGTACAATAAAAATAAAACGTAAAGTCTACCCTGCAAAAACAATTATATTACGATTGGAAAACGCCATAGAATCAGATCCCTGGTTAAAGACTATACTTGAGAATTGATTTACACATTACATAAGATGTCAGAACTTGCGTACTGGTATATATATATATATTCGTATTGGACTTTATGTGTACACGTTACTTGCATTAACATATCGGTTAGGAACTTGCATTCACCCTTTCGCTCGACAATAACTACTATCGTAATCATATTATGGTTTCGCATGATAAACGGTATGATATAACTATAAACAAATTAACAATGCGTGTATTTTGTCCGTTCGCTGCGCAGGGATTCGAGAGGTTGCCGGACTACATGCTGACCAAGTTCTTCGTGTACCTGCGCGTGGGCCCGGCCCTGTTCATCGCGCTCCAGTACGCCATGATGGTGGGCGGCGTGGCGTTCATCGCGCTCACCGTGTTCTCGTCACTGTTCATACCCGAGGACGACGAACTTAAGTTCAGCGGATCGTCTGCGTGGCGGCGCGAGAGCCAGACGCTGACCGGGCATAGGGGCGGCGGCGGTATGCCCATCATCCGCGTACCCGTGCCCGCTGCGGCCGTAGCCGCGGCCAAGGAGATGAACACGTACTACTGCAGCCCGCAGGTGGACTTGGCCGCGGCCCGGCTGAACGACGACCTGTGCGGCCGGCTGGACGTGGTACACGAAGTGAGCTCGCTGCGGGATGGCAGTAGTACCGGGTCCGATTACGAGGACGACGATGACGACGTGTTCAATCGGATCGTGTGAAGCAGCGAGAACCAACGCGACCCGTCGCCGCCGCGCGCCACTTGAGTTCGCCGACCCAAAGCCGCGACGCAAACAGTTGCTAACCGTTTCGATGGTTACGACTGCGACTGCGGCTGCGACGGTTAGGTGTTGTAATCGTTCTATCGTAATATGTATATAGTAAAAATATGTAATAAGCTCATGTTGACGTCATAGGGTGAGAGATTGAGAGAGAGAGTGAGAGAGAGAGAGTGAAAGAGAGAGATTGAGTGAGAGTGAGGAAGAAGAAAAATTGGGGTAAGAGAGAAACGACCAGAAGATATTGTCATCCCTTCTGGCCTTTCACCTCGCCCTTTCCTAAGCATTACTCTTTCCAGCACATTAATAATTTTACTCAATTTTTACGTTAAGTCTATTAAATTATTTCGAATGTGATATATTCTGTACACGCACGTGATACTACGTGCATATGCGTGCCTATTTAATTTTTATATACTTGTATTATATTCTAATTATATGAGTATAATATACATATCTTACATTGATATAATAGTATTAGTAGTATATTATCAGTATAATTATATTGGTGCCGTGCACATTTTCGATGTATTTTTTTTTACATATTTATTTATATTTTGTATAATTTTACTATGAAAAACATTTAATTTTTTTTAAGGTTTTCTGCAGGCTGACAAGTCATCCGATTTGTAAAAATGTTTAGTAATAGTTTTATATTACATGATTATAATTATTATTATTGTATACTTAACCTAGCAAAGCCGTGCTCAAATGTATCTTTAAGGCTGTCCATAAGTGTATTAAAGTTATATGTCGGACTTAATGTTTATGTCATAATTATCCATATTAAATATAAATATAAAGCCAATAATAACGACAACGTGTTTCTACTTTTATCGATCCCTCTCCCATTTACCAGGTATAAATGCTACTACGTCAAAATTAAAACAAATAAATAACGAGACATGGTCTCTCGTATTTTTTTTTTTTTTTTGTTCGCACAACAGTCATCTGATATGTTCAAAATTTATCATGTATCAGTAGTGTGCGTTTTCGAGGGACGAGTACAGTTTGGTCAATGACGAAATCACGCAATACAATTTGAATTGCACTTATATTTATATACAACCAATGTTTGTCGACGATAAGTATGCCGATATCATGTGTACATGATATGCTGAGACGAGTAAATCTATTATATTATTATTTTCGGTATTCACGCGCATGTTAGACGCATCAATAAAATCGTTTTGCCAAGAAATCTACTCTTTTCGAAAACATATTTTGAAATCTCGTAACGAATTTTTTACAAGTCATGGAGTCTGTATCAGTCTCATCGTTGAGTCCAATATCTATTTAAATTATCGAAACCGGTTTTGTTCCTAGTACCGCGTGTTTTTTGCAGTATAAAGTAATATTAGGCCGAGCGCATAATGGAAGCAAGTGACGCAACACAGTGTACTGTAGGAAAAACTGTGTGACCCATATGAGCACATATTACTACTTAGTTCTGTGTCACCCAGTCATAAACGAAATTATAGCAGAAAATGTAATAAATGGAAGTTCCTAATTAGTTTCTGATGATGAATTCGATAAACTTCTTTTATTATATTTGTTTAAGTACACGTAAAAAATTGTGGAAAAATCAAAAGTTGTAAAAAAATTGAATTTTTAATTTTGTCTTCGTATAGCCGTGACTGTGACATTTAAGACATTGTAATGTCGAACGGCTTTAATCACAGACTCTTCCATAGTAAAATTAAAATTAAAAATTAAATATGGAATTGAAATCAAAAATTAGGAAATTATGTTAGACCGGCGCAACTGAAAAATATTCCAAACACTTGTGACACGTGCGCAGTAAACTGTGTCGCGGACACTGCGTGACGCAGGCCGACTCAGGCACAGTTATGCTCGCCCTGTTCTGCTTCCCAATACGTGCTAGTACGTTCTAATAGATTGCAGAAAACTATGCTGCGCTGCGTCGAAATGTCTCGATGTGCGCCCGGCTAGCTCAGACTCCAACCATATAACGTATCTGTTCAACACGTACTAATCGTCCGAAGATCGTACATCGTATACTGACATAACGCTACAGATGCTGTGTGACAGTGGCGTGATGAAAGATTTTTAAGAGGCCATGGCCTCACGATTTCTGTCAACAGATGGTTAGGTGGCTGACGCAGATCTGTAACACAAACATAATAGTAACTATATACCGTACATGCGACATACACAAACTATAATAACAAATGATAATTATTCAGGCAGGTACGTACATCAGTAGGCACAATGGTTCCTAACAGATTTAGTTAAACCCCCCCCCCACTCAAACGCTGGGTTTGGCAGGGGGTATCTTAAACTTGATGGCCTCATAGGTCCAGAAAGTTCACCATGCCGTTGCTGTGCAGTACACTTATAACTCGATTTGTCTTAAGTATTGGCTCATTTTACCACAGTAAGATGTTTTTTTTTTATATCTGTTTATATCATATAGACTAGCACAAATCTTATAGCTTCGGGATCAGTTCATGTCTTCGAAATCGATGTTTTGAGACACAAGACTACAGCCGTGGTTCTATCGTTCCACGTGACAGTCACGCTGAAATGCAATCAGTCATTGGACACCGCACAGCGGTGAAATGCAACAAATGCGTTATTCTAAATCCAACTGTGGTTACACAAATCGTATTTACGAGCGTGTAGCTTAACTGTAATCGCGTGCCCCGGGGCCTGGACGGTAATGTAAGATACTTACGCGGCGTCAAATTAAACACTTTGTACGCGGAGCACATTAATCGCACGGGACAGCGGTAATAATTATTAATGATTAAGCGCCGTTTAATGCGTTAACAGAGATGATCGATTACTGCCCACCGGCTAAATCCGTACAACAATCGTTTATCATTACTCCTAAAGATCATTATTTATCATTGTTGGATAAAAATTGAAAAAAATAATAAAAATAAAAAAGTAATGCACATTTATCAAAAAAAAAAAAAAAAAGAAAGAAAAACAAGTTATTTTATTGATTTTTGACGATATGGAAGAAGCACTATTGTGGTTCTTGACCGTAGACCGTAGATCAGACATGTTTACAAGAAAACAAAAAATACCATGCGAATCAAATTTTATATTATTTATTAAATATTATAGTTTAATATACTAATATATTATAGTTATTAAAAGAAAACGAAATTAAGTTGTCGAAACTATTAAGCCTAGGAGAATATTAAACCTAAAAAGGACGAAAAGTTGTACTTTAGTTTATATACGCATGTAACGACATGTCGTTCAACTTCGCGTATAATGAATTCGCGCCCATCAGTCTTTCGATTCAATCTTGGATTTCATTCCGATTCGATAAGACGTACGGTTTACTGTACACACGTGCCGTTTCACTTGATACGATTAGTCGAGTTCGATGAAACTAACGATAAGTCGTTGCGTGTAAACCGGCCTTTATAACGGTCGTCGGGCCGAGCCCGCGCGTTCTCGGTGCCCCGCGGTGCATCATCAACGAGTGGACAAAATTACAATATTATAGGCGGGCGAACGCGCTAACATTGCACACGTTTCGTCCGTGCGAGCTAAACGTGTCCAACCGGCGGACCGTGCGCGTATTGTCATCGTAATTTATGCGTGCATCTATTTGCTCGACGAAATACCATTCCGAAACGTGTCGTACTGTTGTTACAGTGCGGAACCCGTTCTCGACGGGTTTCGGACCGTTGGCCGTGAACGTTCCGAGCGAAGAATTTTTCACATAAAAAAAAACGAACGCGTACGACGGACAGCAGTGTCGAACAAAGCCGTTCGTCGTCGGAACACGCATACGTGCGGATATTAAACGAAAAGCGATAAAAATTAAACAACCTGACCGGTCTCGACTGGTTTTTTTTCTTTTCTATTATTTTTTATCGAGCCACAACCCGTCGTCGTCGTATTGTCGGCCGTCCCCGTCGCTCCGACTGCCAGCCGGACCAACGTGATTCACCGATTTACAGATATGACGGCGGACGGCCGTCTCCACGTGCAACAACAGCGCACACGATACACCCAATTGTTTCATCACACAGTAAATGTTTACAGATTCCTGTCGATTTCATGACGGCCTAATGTCGAATTGAAATTCGACACTAGGATTAATAATACTATTGCTCGTATATACTAGTATGCAGTTACAGCATTGCAGTTGTTCTACGGGTTGGATAAACGTATATATTTTTTTTTATAAATAACAGACTCCTTAATTAGAAGGAGCATTTTTTTTTTTTTTTTTTTTTGTTAACCCAACAGAACAAATATGAGCTGTACAAAGATTTTTTAATGAAAACGAAATATTTATACGCTAAAATAACTACCCGAAAATACCATTGTAAAATAGGGATTTTATCGATTAATAAATTATACTTGTACAATGACAGCTATGAAAAAAACGAGACATAATGCGTCCCGTGTTATATACGTGTTATATGCATGAAGTTACAGTACGGGTCATCCTATTCTATGGTTCACAACGGTGCACTGGCATTATTAACAATAAAACAGTCACGGCTATCTCCCATTGTGCAATATTTTGATTCTTAAACATTACATAAAAGTTTTTGAGTAAGTAACATAAAACATTGGACTTTGTGTTTCAATAAAATTTACATATATAAAAAAAATCTTTTTTATCCATTAACAATACTGGCTCGTAATATAATGAAAATATTAAAAGTTCCGAGGCCTTTCAATATTCTATGTCAATAATTGTCCTAAGTAAACGACAAATTTCCGTAGGTGTATAAAACCTTAATGTTTGTAATCCACAGTTTATATAATTTAATTTCTTACCTGTCAATCTAATATTATTTTTCCCTCAGGCTCATAATAAAATTAATCGTTTCATTTCCCCCAAATATACATTGTGCATGTAATTTAGTGTAACTGTATCAGTTTTATTTATTGGTAAAGTAAATGAGAATTAACTTTGTAGTATTGTTCAATAGACTTATCGCAAAAGGATTTGTTTATCAGAATCACATTTATCAGAAAACAATAAATGCCAAGGAAGACTATACGGTTTTCTTCTCAACGGAACCATCCCAGTGTGTCACCGTAATATGCATTATGTGATTTTACATCAAAAATGAACGCTTTGGTGGGGGCATCAAAAACAATATTACCTACATATCTCCAATTTAATTAAAGAATTATTAAAGAATAAACCATTTTTTAGAACTCTTAAAAAATCAACAATAAATAAATTAAGATATT